GTACTCTCTGTTGCTGGGCAAGAACTTAAATGGTTCCTTTCACTGGGTTTGTTTGTGTGTGAAATGGGGATCTGACATCGGGTCGAATTCCTTGCTCTTACCTAATCCACAGCTGTCCTACCTTATCAGAGACTGAAACCAGACTGTTGCCTTTTGCCTCTCTCCTCAAACAAAGTCCTGAGAGCGGAGCCAGAGTTGAACAGAGTTCAGACTAAACATGAGTAATTACAGCATGACGGAAGGGAAGAGAGGAGCTGGGTTTGGGTATGTTTGAGAGATTGAGTGTGGACCTGTCATGTCCAACAATCAATCTCTAGGTCAAGCCAGGGTGAGCCGGTGGTTGAACAGAGTTTAATCTGAACTTAATTATTTTTGCATGACAAGGGCTTGATTGATTGTACTACTATTGTTTCTAGACTGAATAGAAGTCAAATTTAGCCGCTATCATAGACTAAGGAAGTGGGCGGAGCGGTCGAGAGGGGGAAACTGAGGACAGTGGTGGGGGAACCCAAGAGGGTGGGGCTTTAAGCTAAGATGTATGTGAAAATTACTATATAAACTGAGAGCTGGGAGGTGTTTGGCAAACCACCTCGGCTTTGTCTATTTGTAATAAAGTCTGTCTTAATTCTACAAAAACTCTGAAATACTTTGGTTCTTTGTTTAGTATAAGGACAAAATTTGCCACATCAATAATGTCCAACCACAAGCACACATCAAAATCCACAAAGAAATGGTTAATTGACCACAAAATCAACATTTAGCAATGGCCCTCTCAGTCTGAGAATTTGAACCCAATTGAAAACCTGTGGTTTGAATTAAAGCACAAACCGAAAGCACAGACTGAAGGATATCAAGGATCTGGGAAAGATTCTGTATGGATGAATGGTCTATGATCCCTCCCAATGTGTTCTCCAATCCCATAAAACATTATAGGAAAAGGCTCAGTGCCGGTATCCTTGCAAGGTGAGGGTGCACAAATAATTGAAAACAGCGGTGCCAATATTTTGACACCAATCTTTTGAAAAAGAATAAAGATTACTTGTTAAACAAAACCTCCTCTAAACATGAGTATAACATTTTTATGTATTTATTTATTATGGATCCCCATTAGCTGCTGCCAAGGCAGCAGCTACTCTACTCTTCCTGCACTGTATAATTAGTATACAGTGCATTCGGAAAGTATTCAGACCCCTTGTCTGTTTCCGCATTTTGTTACGCTACAACCTTATTTTAACATTGATTAAATAAACACTTTCTCATCAATCTACACAGAATACACCATAATGACAAAGCGAAAACAGTTTTTTAGAAATACCTTATTTACGTAAGTATTCAGACCCTTTGCTATGAGACTCGAAATTGAGCTTAGATGCATCCTGTTTCCATTGACCATCCTTCAGATGTTTCTACAATTTGATTGGAGTCCACCTGTGGTAAATTCACCTAAAGGACTCTCAGACTATGAGAAACAAGATTCTCTGGTCTGATGAAACCAAGATTGAACTCTTTGGCCTGAATGCCAAGTGTCACGTCTGGAGGAAACCTGGCACCATCCCTACAGTGAAGCATGGTGGTGGCAGCATCATGCGGTGAGGATGTTTTTCATCGGCAGGGACTGGGAGACTAGTCAGGATCGAGGCAAAGATGAACGGAGCAAAGTACAGAGAGATCCTTGATGAAAACCTGCTCCAGAGCGCTCAGGACCTCAGACTGGAGCGAAGGTTACCCTTCCAACAGGACCACGACCGTAAGCACACAGCCAAGACAATGCAGGAGTGGCTTCGGGACAAGTCTCTGAATGTCCTTGAGTGGCCCAGCCAGAGCTCGGACTTGAACCCGATCTAACATCTCTGGAGAGACTTGAAAATAGCTGTGCAGCGACGCTTCCCATCCAACCTGACAGAGCTTGAAAGGATCTGCAGTGAAGAATGGGAGAAACTCCCCAAATACAGGTGTGCAAAGCTTGAAGCGTCATTACCCAAGAAGACTCAAGGCTGAAATCACTGCCAAAGGTGCTTCAACAAAGTACTGAGTAAAGGGTCTGAATACTTATGTAAATGTAATATCTGTTTTTTATTTTTAATACATTTGCAAAGATTTTTTAAAATCAGTTTTTGCTTTGTCATTATGGGGTATTGTGTGTTGATTGATGAGGGAATAAAACAATTTCATCTATTTTAAAATAAGGCAGAAATGTAACAAAATGTGAAAAAAGTAAAGGGATCTGAATACTTTCTGAATGCACTGTAAAATAATATAATTTCCCAATTTTTTCCCCATACAATATAGTTTGGTGTTTGTGTTATTTATTTTATAGTCTTTTTGGCTCATCTTTATCAAGGATGCCAAACATTTTGGAGGTGACTGTAAGTAGTACATTACAGTCACCTCCAAAATGTTTGGCATCCTTGATAGTATTTAAATACAGCTATTTCCATTTGAGTGTGCTGATTGTCATGAGGGTTTCATGTAACTGTCTTTTTATCCATTTGTAATGTTACATTTCCATGGCGGCATGGTCCTTTCAAACTAAAGAAAGAGGGCTGCTCCAAAGATAGCTGTGATATTACTGCAATTAAACACTGACATGATGAGACAGACGAGAAGAGAGACATACAGAGCAATGAAAATAACATGTAATAATGCCATGAATTAATAGCCTGGCTTGATATACAATTATATAAAAGGTGTTATTTAAAGTGCTGTTGATGACCACATAATAATATGCCTTTATTCTCTTTGAAATTATCGAAGAGGGGTTTAGTAGGGAGGGAGGAGTGGATTGTGGGGGTTCAGCCAGAAATACATTCAGCACTCCCTCTGTCCTTTCAAGCATCAAAAGACAGTTTAATCTTTCATGACATGACCACTTCACATGAAATAGGGATTAATTACTTTGATATGATTGAGACTATTCCTTCCTTCGATCTTTTCTGGGAAGAGGGATTGTGCTAGAAACTATTGCATCTCTGCCTCCCTGTAAAACCCAGTGAGTGATTTCCCATGTAGTTCCCCTCCCCTCTGTAAAAGCCTGGTCTCTTTCTCAATTCATCTTTCCAATGTCCCTCCCTTTCAGGTCTTCTTCTCCAATCCGTTTTGAGGAGGAGGCGAGGAGAGAAGATGTGAGGAATCAATAAAAGATTATAACTGAGAAAGAACCCTTTTGTTGTCTGACGTCTGTATTGTACTGCAGACATAATCAACATCCCTACTGAGAAGAGTGGATTGTGCTACACTATATATTGTCCTATCAAACCAACTAGTGAGCTATCCCCCAGCTCCACACTTCCCCTCAGTATAAACCTGTTGTTTTTATGATGTCTGTACAGATCCCATAGGGAAATCTGGTCAGGAGTGTGCTGGATGGCTGGTGTTAGTATCCTAGATGCCTTCTCCTGCCATTGTGCCCTTGAGCAAAACATGCAACCCATAAAACTGCTCCACGGGCACTGTACTGAGGTTAAAGCTGTTGTTCCAACCCCTCTGTGTGCATGCATGTGTCTCTGACATCCGTTTTGTTGTATGCAGTGTTGGGGAGTAGTGAAATACATGTAGTTGTGTAGTTCAGCTAGTAATTTAACTACATTTCGCAGTAGCTTGGTGATAGTTGAACTAAATTCAAATCTTGGTGGTGTTTTCAGTAGTTAATTACTTTTCTGCCATGTAGCGGTGTAGCTAACTACTGGAAATACAGACTACTTCTTTTGCAAAACAAAAGAAAATATGGGTGAAGTAGCCACGTCTTTTTCAGCATCAGACCTGCCAAATTCTCGCTTGAAACATTGTTTTTGTGTTAAATAGGTGAAATCACACATTCTGGTAGCGTATGACCCCAAAGTGAACTGTTCTTGCAATTTGTAGTCTATGGCATTATTAGATTTGCATATTAACATTTTTCACGAAGTAGTTTGGATGTAGTGAACTACTTTTTCATCGTAACTTTAGTTAAGTAAACTATATTTTTCTTAAGGATAGCTTTAGTGTAGCTTTACTTATTCCAGTGTGAAGTAATTTATAGTTTGGTAAACTATATTTTCAGAGTCTCTTCCCCAACACTGGTTCTAAGGCATGATCAACATCCCTGTAGTGGCTCTGCGGGTGTGGTCATAAAGAAGTGGAAGCATCATGGGAGCTGCTAAGTTTGCGGGAGCTGCTAAGTTTGCCTTTGTGACCACATCATACACAGGGTATGTCTCCTCTCAAAGATGGCGGTAAACCTTCCCCTCCTCATTGGGAATGAGTAGTTATTCTTAGTCTATGAAAATAAAAGTAACTCAAAATAGAGTCTGTGAACTGAGCTAGACGGTTTGTGTAACCATGTAACCGTCAGTGTAGCTGGCAGTAGATGTTTATGTTTACTCTAGATATCTCTAAATAATGTTTTAGTGTTACTCTTAGTGTAACTCTGGCTGCCTGTGTTCCAGGAGGGGGGAGCCAGGCTTCGTGCTGCTCATCAGGTCAGTGCTCCCATCTAGTGGGTGGACTGGAGATGCAACCTTTTCTATAATGGGCACTATGGCTCCGTTTAGGCAGGCAGCCCAATTCTGATTTCAGATCAGATCTTTTCACATCAGATGTTTTTAAGAGCTGATCTGATTGATCAAAAGACCAATTAGAGAAAAAAATATCAGAATTGGGCTGCCTGTCTAAACAGTGTGCTGTATCTTTAACTTGATCAACTGGGAGATGTTTTGTTGTTGTAGCATAAATCATGCTTTGATGTCACTTAAGTTGAAGTTGCGCACATCATTTTGGATAAAGTTAGGATTTGGCCCAAAAAGGACCTTCCCTTAACTCATTAACCTTCTTCTTATAGGTGCATTAAGCCAGAGTTGAAATTCCTTGCTCTTGGAGTCCACACGTTGGCCACTCGAACCCTAGGTGAGTATTACTTACATCCTTGATTGATTGATTGATTGATTGATTGATTGGTTGATTGAGTTAGTCAGTGATTTATTTATTGATTGATTTATACATTTAGCAGGCATCCCTGCGCCTATCTACTTCAGAGCCATCATAGACACAACCTGTTTGTAGTGGGAAACACAAAATACGGAGAAAGAGGAGCATGCAGAATCTACAACACAACAGCCTACAGGTACCTATGTAAAACACCTAGTGAATCTCTACAGTACAGCTCCTAGCACCATATCTGTCTCTCTTTGGATAGGGGTACATACACTGCATTCGGAAAGTATTCAGACCCCTTTACTTTTTCCACAATTTGCTACCTTACAGCCTTGTTCTAAAATGGATTCAATTGTTTATTTATGCTAGAAGATCCACTTGCAGCAAAGTTTCATTCTCCTGGCAGAAGCAACCAGGTTTTTGTCTAAAATGACCTGATACTGGGTAAAGTTCATGATGCCGTTGACCTTAACAAGGGCCCCAGGACCAGTGGAAGTAAAATAGCCCCATAAGATTAAAGATCCACAACCATATTTTACAGTAGGTATGGGGTTATTTTCTGCTTATGCGTCCTTATTTCAATGCCACACCCACCACTGGTGTACTTGGCCAAAGAGCTCTATTTTCATGCCATCTAACCATAGCGCTGGTTCCAAGTGTCAGTGCTGTTTAACAAACTCCAGGGGGCCATACTTTCGAACATAAGAAAAAGTTCAAGATTAAGTTTAAGCCTCAGCCAATTAAAATCGTTGATGTAGTGTCACGTGATAGAACGCTACATTGTAGCTGGTCCCATCAGATAACCTGGCACACCAGGTGTCAGTAATTATTTCCTGTAACAATTTCCTCATCAGCCTATCAAGTTTTGTAAACATGTGGACTTGATAGTACACTTTTTCATGAGAGCGTCTTTAACAGAAGTCAAACGGCACGATCTGCTATTCAAAGCTACAGTGGGGGAAAAAGGTATTTAGTCAGCCACCAATTGTGCAAGTTCTCCCACTTCAAAAGATGAGAGAGGCCTGTAATTTTCATCATAGGTACACGTCAACTATGACAGACAAATTGATTTTAAAACATCCAGAAAATCACATTGTAGGATTTTTTATGAATTTATTTGCAAATTATGGTGGAAAATAAGTATTTGGTCACCTACAAACAAGCAAGATTTCTGGCTCTCACAGACCTGTAACTTCTTCTTTAAGAGGCTCCTCTGTCCTCCACTCGTTACCTGTATTAATGGCACCTGTTTGAACTTGTTATCAGTATAAAAGACACCTGTCCCCAACCTCAAACAGTCACACTCCAAACTCCACTATGGCCAAGACCAAAGAGCTGTCAAAGGACACCAGAAACAAAATTGTAGACCTGCACCAGGCTGGGAAGACTGAATCTGCAATAGGTAAGCAGCTTGGTTTGAAGAAAGCAACTGTGGGAGCAATTATTAGGAAATGGAAGACATACAAGACCATTGATAATCTCACCCCGTGCGGTCAAAATGATCACAAGAACGGTGAGCAAAAATCCCAGAACCACACAGGGGGACATTGTGAATGACCTGCAGAGAGCTGGGACCAAAGTAACAAAGCCTACCATCAGTAACACACTACGCCGCCACGGACTCAAATCCTGCAGTGCCAGATGTGTCCCCCTGCTTAAGCCAGTACATGTCCAGGCCCGTCTGAAGTTTGCTAGAGTGCATTTGGATGATCCAGAAGAGGATTGGGAGAATGTCATATGGTCAGATGAAACCAAAATAGAACTTTTTGGTAAAAACTCAACTCGTCGTGTTTGGAGGACAAAGAATGCTGAGTTGCATCCAAAGAACACCATACCTACTGTGAGGCATGGGGGTGGAAACATCATGCTTTGGGGCTGTTTTTCTGCAAAGGGACCAGGACGACTGATCCGTGTAAAGGAAAGAATGAATGGGGCCATGTATCGTGAGATTTTGAGTGAAAACCTCCTTCCATCAGCAAGGGCATTGAAGATGAAACGTGGCTGGGTCTTTCAGCATGACAATGATCCCAAACACACCGCCCGGGCAACGAAGGAGTGGCTTCGTAAGAAGCATTTCAAAGTCCTGGAGTGGCCTAGCCAGTCTCCAGATCTCAACCCCATAGAAAGTCTTTGGAGGGAGTTGAAAGTCCGTGTTGCCCAGCGACAGCCCCAAAACATCACTGCTCTAGAGGAGATCTGCATGGAGGAATGGGCCAAAATACCAGCAACAGTGTGTGAAAACCTTGTGAAGACTTACAGAAAACGTTTGACCTGTGTCATTGCCAACAAAGGGTATATAACAAAGTATTGAGAAACTTTTGTTATTGACCAAATACTTATTTTCCACCATCATTTGCAAATAAATTCATTACAAATCCTACAATGTGATTTTCAGGTTTTTGTTTTCCTCATTTTGTCTGTCATAGTTGACGTTTACCTATGATGAAAATTACAGGCCTCTCTCATCTTTTTAAGTGGGAGAACTTGCACAATTGGTGGCTGACTAAATACTTTTTTTCCCCACTGTACTTTAAACACGCTCAGAAGTTCAACGACGATTAAACGATTATATCACAGTGTAGTGAGCCTGGCTCCTCCCTTACCAAAAAAACGGGCTTCTGGCAAACAGTTGTGGCAAACCTTTGGCCAATTTGACGCAAATTTGCGGCAAGCTCATATTTTCACCTGCAAATTCGTTTTGTGGCAAACTGTTGTGGTAAATTTGCGGCAACTTGAGAACTTCTGGCAAACTATTCTGGGAAACTCAGTATGAATATGCAAATTAGATCAGGTTTTTGGTTATTGTGTGTTAAAAAACATTGTATTCAGACACAAAAAAAAATATATATATATATAGGATAAAAAAAAAAAAAAAAAAAAAAAAAATATCAATATAAAACAAATTAAAATTAAAAATAAAGATTAAAAAAAAATAAAGATAAAAATAAGTGTAAAGTGGTTGTCCCTCTAGCTTTCATAAGGTGAATGCACCAATTTGTAAGTCACTCTGGATAAGAGCGTCTGCTAAATGACGTAAATGTAATGTAAATGTAAAGAAAAACTAAACATACTAAGTGTAGTAAATATACTAAACAAATGTATTCAATGTCTTTAACAGATACAAATAAATCCAATACAACTTGAAATCATCAGCATGGTAATGAAGAAAATAATAAAGACTGGAAATTGTTTAATCTTTTTATGTAGCTACAACATTTACATGAGAGAAATGTGAACGCTATGGGGATGTTGACCTTAAGATTTTTCAAGGGACAAGTACAGAATTATTTACATGAGCCAAGTGATAACTGATCAATAGATTAACCAATGGAAGTTTAAAGGATAATTAACTAAATGTTTAATCATTAAAGCAATAAAACCTCAATCAAACCCAGTTCGGAACTATTTTTACATTTACATTTTACATTTTAGTCAGTTAGCAGACACTCTTATCCTGAGCAACTTACAGTTCGTGAGTGCATACATTTTTTTTTCTTCATACTACACCTGTCTAAATGGTGTAGGCTATATTACATGGATTATTATACTTTTTAAAATGTATTCTGCATCAGTGGCTTGTAGGCTATGCGTGGAAGCCAGGAGATGCTAAATGTGTTTATGTTAATTAATGGTCAATTACCATGAGACCTGCAGTTATTTGCACTGGCTGACAAAATGTAATGAACGCCACAGCCCTAGTCACAGCTCTCCCTGCACTGTGAGTCACGTGGGTCGCATCAGCCAGGCTAGTTAATCACAGCAAACAGAATCAAATTCAAGTCGTCTAATGTTTTTCTAAAACATGTAACCCACCATGCCCGGAGTATCCAGCAGACGCGGATACTCTTGGACTATCTCGACTGTCTTCGCACCATTCTGTCTGGTCCACTGAGCCCTCTGGATCGCAGTCTCCTTCATGTTCTCCACAATCTGGTTTGCCGGCCAGATGTTGTTCAGCCACTTGGTCATCTGGGCTGCCCTCTCACATTTGACTCTGTTGTGGAGTATTCAATTATAAATTCCTTTTAACAATCAGTTTTTAAAATACACAACAAATCTTTCAACATATACCTGGCAAGACACGGCTACTGCTCAAGCTTGTTGTGTCGCTTGGTGTGTCCACAGTCCTATGTATTCATGTGTGCATTCCGAGGACCTCCCCTCGTGTATAAAAAATTTGGCGTTTACGGAATACTTACTGCATGTAAAGCTTTTATGTTCTTCTTTAACTTAAGGCTATAGTCGAGTTATCCAAAAGCAATAGTGTTTCCTGGTCCATCTCTTCCACTGCAAAAGAGAGGGTAAAAGGGAAAGGGGGTACCTAATCAGTTGCGCAACTGAAAGCATTAATCCGAAATGTGTCTTCCGCATTTAACCCAACCCCTCTGAATCAGACAGGTGCGGGGGGGCTGCCTTTATCGACATCCACGTCTTCGGCACCAGGGGAGCAGTTGTTTTTGGGGTTTAACTGGCCAGAACCAGTGATCAGTTACTGGGCCAACGCTTTTAACCTCTAGGCTTAACCGCAAGGGGGGGGGGGGGGGGGGGGGGGGGATTTTAAGGGATAATTTCACCCACATTTCTAAGTTAAATACTTTGAGGGAAGGGTTGATAAGCCAGGTCAAATGGTTGAACAAAGGCAAGGGAGTGAGGAAAGAGCTAAATGAATAGGGGCGGCAGTAGCTTCGAGGTTAGAAAGGCAGGCTGATATTCAAACCCCCGAGCTGCCTGCGGGGGAAATCTGCAGGGAGTGATCCGTCAGCCAGAGGGTTACCAGCTACAATATCTCTGTGTACTACCTACTGCTGTTGTGCCCTTGAGCAAGGCACTTTACCTCTATGTGCCTATGTTTTTATTTATTTTATTTTATTTTTCACCTTTATTTAACCAGGTAAGCCAGTTGAGAACAAGTTCTCATTTACAACCGCGACCTGGCCAAGATAAAGCAAAGCAGTGCGATAAAAAGAACAACAGCACAGAGTTACACATGGGATAAAACAAAACATACAGTCAATAACACAATAGAAAATCTATATACAGTGTGTGCAAATGTAGTAATTTATGGAGGTAAGGCAATAAATAGGCCATAGTGCAAAATAATTATAATTTAGTATTAACACTGGAATGATAGATGTGCAGAAGAAGATGTGCAAATAAAGATAATTGGGTGCAAATGAGCAAAATAAATGACAATATGGGGATGAGGTAGTTGGGTGGGCTAATTACAGATGGGCTGTGTACAGGTGCAGTAATTGGTAAGCTGCTCTGACAACTGATGCTTAAAGTTAGTGAGGGAGATAAGAGTCTCCAGCTTCAGAGATTTTTGCAGTTCGTTCCAGTCATTAGCAACAGAGAACTGGAAGGAATGGCGGCCAAAGGAGGTGTTGGCTTTGGGGATGACCAGTGAGATATACCTGCTGGAGCACAAACTACGGGTGGGTGTTGCTATGGTGACCAATGAGCTAAGATAAGGCTGGGATTTGCCTAGCAGTGATTTATAGATGACCTGGAGCCAGTGGGTAGGCGACGAATATGTAGTGAGGGCCCATGAGCTGCTCCCAGCATGTAATGTGTGTCAGGTTGGTCACTGTGACAGAATATCTGTGCAAATGACCAATAAAGCAAGTATGGTAAAATGAAGGCCAGACTATCTATGGTTGTTGTGCATGTAATGTACACTACATGACCAAAGGTATGTGGACACCTGCTCGTCGAACATCTCATTCCAAAATCATGGGCATTAATATGGAGTTGGTCCCCCCTTTGCTGCATTAACAGCATTCCCTCCCCTTTGCTGCTATAACAGCCTCCACTCTTCTGGGAAGGCTTTCCACTAGATGTTGGAACATCTTGCAACCATTCAGCCACAAGAGCATTAGTGAGGTCGGGCACTGATGTTGGGGGCGATTAAGCCTGGCTCGCAATTGACGTTCCAATTCATCCCAAAGGTGTTCAATGGGGTTGAGGTCAGGGCTCTGTGCAGGCCAGTCAAGTTCTTCCACACTGATCTCGACAAACTATTTCTGTCTGGACCTCACTTTGTGCACGGGGGCATTGTCATGCTGAAACAAGAAAGAGTCTTCCCCAAACTGTTGCCACAAATTGGAAGCACAGAATCGTCTAGAATGTAATTGTATGCTGTAGCTTTAAGATTTCTCTTCACTGGAACTAAGGGGCCTAGCCTGAACCATGAAAAACTGCCCCAGACCATTATTCCTCCTCCACCAAACTTTACAGTTGGCACTATGCATTGGGACAGGTAGTGTTCTCTTGGTATCCGCCAAACCCAGATTAGTCCGTCGGACTGCCAGATGGTGACGCGTGATTCATCACTCCAGAGAACATGTTTCCACTGCTCCAGAGTCCAATGGCCGCAAGCTTTATACCACTCCAGTTGACACTTGGCAGTGCGCATGATGATTTTAGACTTGTGTGCGGCTGCTCGGCCATGGCAACCTATTTCATGAAGCTCCTGATGAACAGTTCTTGTGCTGACGTTTCTTCCAGAGGCAGTTTGGATCTCGGTAGTGAGTGTTGCAACCAAGAACAGACCATTTTTACAGGCTGCGTGTTTCAGCACTGGGTGGTCCCATTCTGTGAGCTTGTGTGTCTCCTAGACGTTTACACTTCACAATAACAGCACTTACAGTTGACCGGGGCAGCTCTAGCAGGGCAGGAATTTGACGAACTGACTTGTTGGAAAGGTGGCATCCTATGACGGTGCAACGTTGAAAGTCACTGCGCTCTTCAGTAAGGCTATTCTACTGCCAATGTTTCTCTATGGTTATTGCATGGCTGCACATTAAAAACAGAAGTGTTAATTTAACTCCTATCGAGTTGAATTTAACTCTGTTTTAGATAACATTTGGTCCCACTCAAAATCAGTGTAAAATGTACTCTTTGGTCAGTGTAAAACTTTTAGAGTTAATTCTACTCCATATTGTGTAAAAAATAACAATGAAATGTGTCAAAATATTTAACACTGTAGTTTAATCACACTGTTGAGAGTAATATGATTACACTGTATAGAGTTAAGTCAACTACAATTTTACTTTAAAAAATGACACTTTAAAGTGTAATGATATTTACTTTTCATTTCTCTACAGTGTTTTTTTTTTTTTAATTTAAATCATATGATGTAGTGTTACTGAATTATAGAAATATCAATACTATCAAATAAAACAAAGCACAATAATACAAGATGAGAGCACCCACATTTATTGAAAAAAAAAAGTATAATTTCAATGTCCGTGAATTTACATTGTACACCCATTGCCTTGTCTATGACAGAAGTATAACATCATAAAAATGTTCACCAGAGAAAGCAATATGGCACAACAAGGAGAGCTGTGTCATTTCCTCCATATGACCTTTGTATGTCAAAAGGTCTAGGGTAGTGCAGGATGTCGACATGAAAAAAAACTAAATCATGCTTTGATCTGATCACCTCATATGCATGGAAATGTTCTTGAAAAGTTACTGTAACTAAAGGCACTGTGAGTAGTAACAGTTTTTCACACATTATCAGAACTGACTCAATCTGATAAAACAAGGGCACTTCAGAGTCAACTTCGCCACAGATAACCAAGTGTGGGCGATAAACATACCCATTATGTTTAGCCCAATTAACCTTCATAACCTGAATGCTACTGGGCACTTGCATTGCCAAAGCAATTTCAGAACCTCCTTTTACCATATTTAAAGCCACCATTTTTCCTGGACCAATATCTAACCGAATAAAAGTTGTTGATCTTCGCCAACTATATGCCATATGATTCTGATGCTTTTTTGCCAGCGTTTTGGTAATATTTTTAAACGATTTAAGCTGTTTTTTGAAAAAATTATGTTTGCCTTCATACCTCATACACCAACTATGAAGTACAGGCCCTATTTTCTGGATGCAGCGGGGATAGTGGATAAGAAAATGGTGCTTTGGTAAAAGTTTTTTCTGAGGATACAACTTCTTAAACAGTGTATGGTGATCAACAATCAAATGTTTTAAATATACACATAGACCTTGAGATAACATGGGCGAGAATATAATGTTAATTATTTGCAATAATAAAAGAAGCAGGCCCCAGTGTTGGTCAGTAGAAGTTACCAAATCTCCAAAGATAAGAGGAACATTCCTAAGTAAGCACCAGGACTGAATTGCATTCAGTCCCAGATCATTTGATCCTTCACTTAAATTAACAGTCACAGGCCTGTTATTTCTCTCTGTGAAACCATAATCAAAACTTTGTATTCTTGAATGTATTTCTCCTGATGTAACATGTTTTTCATTCAAATACAGAAATAATAACTTCAATTCGTACTGGCCAACCCCTTCTAACACATCATGCATCACATCAACTGAGAAGTTCTCAGTTGTGTGAAAATACCTCAATGAATTTAATATGCATGACCTTTTCACACCAAAAACATACGGAAGGGATGGATTACAAGCCATTTCTTGACAGTGAGCAGTATGCATATCTTTGGTGCGTAAAACTATTTTGGAAGAATCTTCAGAGAATTCTGTTTGAAAGTCCTCCTTTTCTGCTAAACAGAACCTGCAACAGTACCTTGCACTGAAAGACTCCACCAGACCAAACAAACTATGCAAACCCAAATTATCACCTGTTACCTGTACTACAGTGCCACGTACATAACCACTGTATAATGGAATCTCAATACCATCGCTCTCTAACACTTTAATGTCTCGAACAATGGGAGCAAAAATTTCACTAAAACCATATTGTTTAACATCTTGAGTATGAAATAAGGCGCACAGGTGTATGTTAGCCAAAAAAGAATTCCATTTTGGAGAGAAGTTTCTTAAAGTAAAATATACTCCACCCAATTTATGAATACCTCGCTTGGAACCCAATGGGTTGGCGACCTCAAAATCATCATAGAACATCTGGACCTGTATTGTCTGCTTCTCAGTTGAGAACAGGGGGTGACTTTTAAAAAACGATCCATCACAA